GTCATGGATATAATGTTAATTTATAAAAACTAACTCCAGAAATGTTACTTTCTTTAAACTTTACATTTTTATGAATGGGACAAAGCAGTAGTTTTACTAATGATTTTGATGAGTCAACTGGAAACTCATTTTTACCTTTTACCTCTTTTTTACAATAAACTTTTATTTTGTTTTAATTAATGAGTTTATAGCAGGGAAACCCAACAAGTCAACAACTCTTCTTGGCATATTTTATTTCAGTCTGGATAATTATTATGTCTACTATACACAATAATGAAAGTTATCTATGCTTAGCATATGAAATGTCAAGAAAAAAAAGTTATTGAAAAACTGAGAATATTGATAAATTTCTTCTAATAGATTTTTAACTACTTTTTTAATTAGAAAAACATTATTTTCAAAAACACTTTTCATCTAAGCTATAAAATAATAGCTTACATAAGTGTATTTATATATATATGCATACACAAACACACACATATTTTCCCACATAGAGAGAGTTAAATTAAGCATACTCCTCAATTCCTGGCATACTTTATCATAATGACCCTGGGAAAAGCATATTTATTTTATTTTCCTATATTTTCTTCATCTCTGATCGTTCTTCCTGTCCTTCTATAAATATCCATTCTAATATTCATACTTTGCCATATCCTTTCCTTGAAAACCATATACTGATCTTTATATATTTTTAATTTATCAAAATGGCATTACACTATTTTCTAATTTCACTCAATAGCTTTTTCTCTCTAATCATAATATTTTTTTATGCATGGAAATCATGTTCTTTCCTTCTGACTGCTTCATAATGCTCCAAAGGCTTCTTACTTCTCCATTTTCTTGTTATGGACATAGAGTTGCCCTCTAACTCTCAGCAACCACATATATTCAAGAATGCCCCTTATAAATATGAGCAAGAGTTTCTCTGGGATACATCCTAAAGAGATGGATAAGTGCATGGGATATATGAGTTTTATATATAAAACTCCTTTATATATAAAAGCTCCTTCCAAATGGCTGCATCAGTGCAGTGCACCATACGATCATCGACAGAAAATCCAGTCCTACCAACAACCACTAGGATGGCTATTCAGAATAGTACTACAAACAGCACTATTAACATTGTTTTGTCCAAATCAGTCTATTCTCCAGTCAAAACTCAATCAAGAGATGATAAAATATATTTGGGAAAATTCATTTCACAGCTATCTAAGAGAACTTTGAAAAACAAGAGTAAATAAAGGGACTTAAAAGAGTTTACAAAATCCTTCAAAGATAAAGCGATAATACAAAAACCAACAGACAGAGAGCTACTATTGGCTTATTAACAGAAAACAGATCAGTAAAATTTCATAATTAAAAGAAAAGAAAGATCAAGATAAAAATATTTGGAAATTAAAGATGTAAAAAGAAATGTCATGTTATTTGCCATAAAAGAAATTCACCGTCTCAGTCACTAAGCTCCTAGTTCTCAGCTTCAGAGCACCTTGACCTTAATAAGGCTGGGTTTCCTGGAGAAAGATCCCTGTGTAAACACAACAATTATGTAGTAAAAATCTTCCTCCACATCTTCCCTACTGTGACCTGTGGCCCTTTTTCCCTTCCTGGAGTTATTAGACACCAACTGTGAGTTGACTTTAATCCTGAAACCCAGACACCATTATATTCTAAGCCTAAATGAGGGCTTAAAGAGGTCAGAGGAAAATGGAATTTCAGGCTCAGTCTGTCTCATACTGGGTGCAGTGAGGCCACAGACCACCCGGTATTTACTTCACACTTCTGAACACCTAGCTGAGACAGACACACATGCTCCTTGCACAGTCCCCACACTGGTTCCTTAGCTCACAGAGTGAGGGGCACATTGAAATCCCTAAAACTCTCTCTCCCTGCAAAAACAGTAAAACGAAAGTATACCTGATCCCCAAGGAACTGCTGAAATTAGGGCCATCATCAAAGACATGAAAAATGCAGCAAGGTGATCGTCACAACCCACCATGCACCTCATTTCTGGCTGGTCTGTACACAGGGAGGTGGACTTGGAGAACCATTGGATTGTCATACCCTGAATCAGATAGTGACTCCGATTACATCCTCCTTTGTATGTGGTATTTGCTAGAGCAAATCAAAACATGTCCTGCCATGTGCTATCTAGCTAACAATTTGGCAACGTTTTTCTCTCTTTAACAGTGAGTAAGGACAATTAGAAATATTTCACTTTTGGCTGACAAAAGCCCCTTCAGGGTTAGTCCTCAGGGCAGTCCTCCCACTCCATGACAGACAGAAGCCTTGGTCACCTGCACATCTTACAGGACACCATGCTGTGAATAAAATATCCATCACATCATCCTAGATGCCTCAGTACATGTGCAATCCTCTGGTGGGGAAAAATATTGACATTGTAAGTGCTTGACAATTCAGCAGGCTTTCTAAATGTCTAGCAGTCTGGATCTGATTGGGATATTCTTCTAAAGTAACAGCAAATGTCTGCACTTAAGATGACCTAGCACGCAGGAGGAGGCACCATGTTCTTTGGGATCATTTGCATATTAGAGAAAACATAGTACGCACTTGGGTTATTTGCTATAACCCATTTACAAAGTAACCCCAAGAAGCTTCTGAATGAGAAAGAAAAGTCTCTGTAGCCTGGTGTTCTGCAAGCTGCTCTGATATTCAGTCCAGATGACCCAAATCATTCATTCATTCAATGGTGTCTGAAGTACTAGTGACAAATAAAGATATCCTTCAGAGGCTGGAAAACCCCATCAGAAGAATAATAGTATCAACATCAAAGGATTTAAAGTAAAGTCATTCCTTCTTCTGCTAAAATTTGTTTTTGTGTGTTTGTTTACTTGGTTGGTTGGCTGAGGTAGTTGGTTTGCAACTAGGCTGGATAGAAATCACATACCTGACTGTGAACTCGTAAGTGCAAAGGCAACATGAGGTGGCCACAATGAACTAAGCACTCCCTGGTACTTATTTCATTGCCTGGCTCTAATATCAGCCTTTTGTAGGAGCAACATATCATCACATGGAAGTGATCTATTGGAAATAGGCTCAAGGAGGTGGGAAAAGCATAAGGTAACATGAGTGGAAAGCACCACAGACTCACTCAGCACCTACTTCTGCTACATTTCCCCACTTCAGAGGCAATTTGTGATTTCACGAAAAATGATCAGTGATGAAAGATAAATAAAATCATGTCTAGATAGGTCTGTACAATACAGAGGCATCAAGTAGAAACATACTACCACAGCAGGTAAGCCCCATGCAGGAATGACAATAAAATGTGTGAAAAGGAAATTTTAAGTGGGTTCCCGTACACTCCCTGTGGTTGTTCAGTTTGTGTGGCATGAGACCAGCCTGTGATGGATCTACCCTGTTTCATGGGCAGTGGCTAATGGTGGCTGGCTGGTCAGGGACACAGAAATATCAAGTAAGCAACATCGATGACAAGGAGTTCTACTCAGTGGCCAAGATAGATACTGACAAACCTTTCCACCCTTAAGAGCCCCGCCTTGTTCTTGAGCCATTTTATAACATACCACTTACATGGGCTTAGTTTCCACTAGTGAATAAGCCATGTTAAGTGTTGGATTTTGTTTTGTTTTTGTAACAACTGAGTTGTCTTGGTGGTAAAACACACATAATCTTTACCAGCTTAAGATCCTCCTTAGCTGGCTTTTACTGTAAGAACCACTACACACTATATACTAGCCACTATACACTTACATGCTGGCCGGAGTTCACTGATTTCTCAAATGCAGGAAAGGGATTGCTGGACATTATAGACATTTAGAGAAAAAAAGAACAGCTACTTTATACACAAATAAATTGGTAAATCTTTTGAGCTGTAGCAAATATCCAGCAATAGCCCAGATCTTTATTCCAATTACTGCCCATTTGAGGAGAGAATGAGGCAATTAGGAACGCTGTCCCAAGAGCAAATAAACAGATTTTACATTATGGAGACTAAAGCTATGAGACATACTGACTTCTTCATAGGATACCAATTGAAGTAATTATTTGAATAAATAAATACAGAATTCTGAATTACAGTTCAATTCAAAAATATCCACTGAGAATATACTATTGGCCAGGATAAACACTGGTTGACTAAACACAAAAATAAATAAAATAATAGTTTCCTCCAGTTTTAAGTGTTTTTCAGTTTTAATTGCAAATTATCAAGCAAAGGGACATCAGTAAAGGCTTTAATTTAACATGCAAAATAATGGTGGGCATAGTGGTAGAAATGTGAGTTATAGAAGCAAGCCACTCAATGTTTATCATTTTGGATCAACAAATAGCATTTTTAGCACTCCAGGTAAAATGTACAGAAACTTCTTTCTATTCAACCATTTTTTAAACAGATGTTTAACATTCAGTAATATGCTATCACTACATTTACATGAATACTCTTTCTCTTTTACATTGTCCAGTAAGTAGCCATTAGCTATATGTGGAATTTAGACCAAACACAATTAAAATTAAATAAAAGGAAAACTTCAATACTCAATCACAATAGCCCCATTTTTGAAATGCTTATTTTATTGTGGTAAGAACATTTAAGCATGACATCTATCCTCTTAGCAAGTTTTGAGGTGTACAATACATTATTTCTGACCATAGGAAGGTGGAAATGGAGTGTTGCTAATCCAGGGGCATAAAGTTTCAGTTAAACAAGGTTAGTTCTAGGGTTCTGCTGAACAACACTATTCTAGCTACACTTTAAGGGCACAGTGATTATTTGCCCAGGGACTGCCATATTGTATCATAGAAAATGTCCCTTGTCTCTGACATTTTATTCATCTCAAAAGTTGAACTTATGTTCCTATTAATGAATTGAATAGAAGGCACCACTGAATTTTGAAAATCATTAATGTCGATCTTTCTTTCTTCAACAGCATATTTCATTCTACTTCATTGAATACATTCTATTCTGTTGTAAAATGAATGGCTTACTTTCTTTTCTCTTTCTGGTTGTAAAACAAATGTCTTACTTTCTTCTGTTGGCAAGTGTCTCTTCACCATGTCTCACAGAGATCTTCAATCCATGCTTCTCTTTGCTCCCATCAAAAGAACAACGGGGGCTTTGTGTAGGTGTTCTGGTGGGACGGCCGCAAATCTTATTTACCTTTTATATAGAAAATATTAAAAGATAGTTAGATCCATACACATAAGTAAACTTGAAATGAATTAAAGACCTAAATATATGACATAAAACCATAAAATTCTTGGAAACACAGGGAAAAATCTCTTGAACATAAGCATGAGGAATTTTTTTCCAGACACAAAGGAAACAAAAGCAAACATGAACAAATGGGATCACATCAAGCTAAGAAGCTTCTGTACAGAAAAGGACACCTTCAACAAAAGAAAAAGGCAACCTACAGTATGGAAGAATACACTTATAAAGAACTCATATCGAGACAGGGACCATGGGTGTAGTCAGAGAAGGGTGAGGGGCTCCGGAGAAAAAGTAGAGCAAGATAATTACAGTCAGAACAATGTAACAATATGCAAAGAAGTCCCTATCAAAACTCTGTATTAAGCATTATGCAAAGTCAGAGTCACACTAATTCTGTAGGGTAAAGATTTGTCTACAGGACTAAAAATATGGACATTCTTCAGTGAAATCACTTAAAGCTCAAAAAGCCAGGAGCAACTTGGCCTGGAATGTTTGAGTGTTCTGCAGATAAAGAAAAGTATCTCAGCATAAACCATCACTTTATTGTATCAATTACATCATGACAATGTAAAATTTACCCTATCCTGCTAAAAGGCCCAGTTTATTTTAATTGTAACTATGTGCTATTTTCCCTTCTCTAATCGTAATCAAGTAATCTGCAACCTAGGCAAAAGACTACTTTGGTAAGCAATCTCAACTATAAATAACCCAAGCAAACAGACAACAACCCAGCCCACCTTGGGGGCAGGGCAGGCGGTCTTACAAGTCTGCACACCTAACCCTTTACCCTCATTCCTGAAAATCCTCAATGCGCATAAAACCCCTAGACAATGAGCCAACCACGGACTCTCTTGTCCCCTCCTGGCATGAGCCGGGAGCTCTGTCCTCTCACTTTATCTCTAAATAAAAGCCTGTACCTTGCTCTCCTACCTTGAGTGTTTGTGAAGCTCATTCTTCAGCTTTGTGAACAAGAACCTGGGCATCAATATGACTCAACACCAAAAAACCCCACAAATAACCTGATTAAAAGAATGGGCAGAGGACCTGAATACACGTTTTGTTTCAAGAAAGAAATACAGATGGCTAACAGGCACATAAAAAGATGTTCCACATTGCTAATCACCAGGGAAATGCAAATCAAAACCATAATGAGATATGACCTAGTTGGAGTGGCCACTATTCAAAAGACAAGAAATAACAACTGTTGGCAAGGATGTGGAGAAAAGGGAACCCTCCTACACTGTTGATAGAAATGTAAGTTGGTATAGCCACTATATGGCAGATATGGAGATGTCTCAAAAAACTAAAAATAGAAATGCCATACAACCCAGTAATTCGCTTCTAGGAATTTACCCGAAGAAAACAAAGCCCTGATTCAGGAAGAAATATGCACCCCTATGTTTATTGACACATTATTTACAGTAGCCAAGATAGGGAAGCAAATAAAGTGCCCATCACTAGATGAATGGGTAAAGAAGATGTGGTACGTATACACAATGGAGTACTATTCAGCCACAAAAAGAAAGAAATCCTGCTATTGGCAACAACATGGATGAACCTAGAGGGTATTATGCTAAGTGAAATAAGCCAGGTGGAGAAAGACAAATATCACATGATTTCACTTACATGTGGAACATAAAAGCAAAACAAAACAAAATGAACAAAACAACAGTAGATGCATAGACACTGAGAAGTGACTGGCGGTTAAAATGGGGGAGGGTTGGGGGTGTGTGGGTGGAGTGGGTAGAGTGGGTGAGCAAGATAAAGAGACACAAATGTCTCAGTCATAACATAAGTTGGTTATAGGGATGGAAATGCAGCATGGAGAATGTAGTCAGTCAATGGTTCTGTAACATCTTTCCATGTTGACAGATAGTAACTGCACTAGTTGGGGTATTTAATAATGTGTACAACTGTTGAGTCACTGTGTTGTAATCTTGAAATCAATGAAATATTGCATATCAACTATTGTTTAATTTAATAAATAAATAAATAATAAAAAAATAAAAATAAAAAGGGGGTTATCTTCTCACTGAGTTGTATTCTACATATAAGTATTTTAAAAGATACATGATACAAATATTTTCTCCCAGTCTTTAATTTCTTTTTCATTCTTAATGGAATCTTTGAGAACAAAACATTTTAATCTGAAGGAAGTACAAATCATCATTATGCTTTTGGTATTATCTCTAAAAAATTCATTGCTGAACCTAAAGTCACACAAAATTTTCTGCTGAATTTTCTTCTGGAAATTTTATAATTTTATCTCACATACTTAGATCTATGTTTCATTCTGAGTTAATTTTTGCTTATGACATAAGGTAATTCTTAAAGTGTTTGAAATGTACTCTTGACAATTTTTATAGACTTGATTACTTCTTTTGGCAAATTTATGTAATAGAAATGTTTAAGATGTTCTTTTTCAAAATTTCTTTAAAAAAGTAGCTATACACTTACATATATTTTTAAATAAAATTTATTTAAATTTTAGCAATCTATTTGCATAAAAAAAAGCTACAGAACTTTTAGAGGAAGATAAATATGTAAACATCACTTGTAAGCATTTGCCACAGATAACCAGATTTATTGTCACAACTTATAATTAGTATTTATCTCGTTAAAAATATTTGCCACAATTCTGTGTTAAGTTGTATTAAAAATAAGTCAGAATGCTTATTAGAAAAAGATAATTAGAAATGATCCCTCAGTGCTTCTGAGAACATGTTTGCTAGAGTCCAAAAGAACCACATTTTCTTACTTACATCTCAACAGTAACCTTTCAGACATAAAATGTCAGTCAATTTTTCAAACACAGGGAATCAATTATCTGTATAATATGGCAACTATGATAAACTGATGCTACACACACTTATATAATTTGTATGCATATATGTGCAAAATGCATGAATAAAAATATATATACAAAATCCAAGAACAATAGTAATAAGCCAGACTTCTTGTGGAAATAAGGCTATTTAACTAATGTAGATAGATATTATTTATGGTTTATATGTATGACTAATAATATACTTGTACTGATTTTTAAAAGGAAATAATTTGCTGCTGAGTATGCAATATTTTTAAATGAGTTCTAAGGGTAGTTTTCTTCTTAAGGCCCTTTCTTAGAGATGATAATGACTATGTTTATATGAAGATCTTATTTTATAATAGCTTTATATCTTTTACCTCAACCTGCTTTGATTTTGAGAATGCTATTTTAATCTTTTTTTAAAATAATTTATCAAAATGGAAAATTCTTTGCTTTTAAAATATTTATATGTCAAAGATCTTTTTATAATTTAATAACTATCATTGAAAAACTAAATAATTAATTGGAGACATTATCATGTAAAGCATCAAAAAAGGATTCACATGGTACCTTACACACTTAAAGAAGCAAAGCAGTATAATTGAAAATATATAAAAGCATTGCCTAGGGCCTAGGAGACTTTGGATCTTGCCCTACTTTTCCCTTCTTAAGCACTGAGATCCTGAAAACAGTGGCAGAAAACTTTGAACTTGATTATATGTAAGATGAAGAAATTAAATTACTACAAAATTCTCTTAAAATTTTAAGTTCCTTTGATTTTGCTTTGATTAATGACCATTAAATGAATTATGCACCAATTCATCTATTTAATCCAGATTTATTATGATTCTGATAATTGCAAAGAACACGTATTAGATGTTAGAAGAGATAAAAGATGAGAAATAGAATTTTCTCATAAAAGAGGTGACAGTTTAGGAGAAAAAAAATTCCTCCCAAACATCAAAATTCAAGTTGCATGTATCAAAAAAGTAGGACAAATAAGGTGTTCTGGATGTGTAGAGGAAGGTCAGACCATTTCCCTTGGGGTGGTGGGTGAGGAGTGCCATCAAGACCACCGTGGGAAGGCTACTCCATTGGAATGAGACTTGGAGTATCTGTTGGGCCTGAGCACGCTGAGGTTCTATCAATTCAGCCAAATTATAAACATGCAACTATTTATTGCTCTCCATTCTGTTAGATGCTAGAGTTACAAATGTGAATAACACATGGCCTGTGCACACAGTTAAGATGGAAGTCAGACATGTAAAATAGTAGCTGTACTACACCAGGACAAGAACAACAGAAGTAAGTGAGTGACACTGAAACCCTTAGAAAAAGCAGTTTAACTATTTGGAGTGTCAGGGAAGAGTTCAGGACCTCATGTCTAAAGAGAAGGTTGAAGGATAAACTAGGGATCTGTCTGGCAGACAAAGCAGGGGAGACACTCCAGGAGAGAGTCGGAAAGCAGAGAGATGTACAACTCAGCATGTTCATACACAGCCAAAGTCTACAATGAAAGGAAGTCATACAGCAAGAGGTAAGACATAAAAATGCCATATGACTAGGATTCCAAGTCAAAGAACTTGCTTCAGCAAACGGAGAGCTGGCAAGACTATCCAAGCAGGGGCGTGGTAACTTAAGATTTCCACAAGAGAGGAATCATCTCGGCAGCAGTATGCTGAGAAGGAGGCCAAAGGAGGCCCTTCAGTAGAACACAAGAAAATGTGGGGGCCCAAAGTCAGGAATAAAAATGGTGAAAGAAGAAGCGGACATAAAGTGTGAACAGGAGGGAGAGATAATAACATATAGATGGTTTAGATATGTGATGCTGTCAGAACGCTGAATAATGAGGAAAACTCCCGAGACAGGTAATAAGTGTCAGAAACATGAGGCTGATACAGAAAATGGATAAAAACTTAGTTTGCCTGGAAAGAAGGGCTTATGA